TAATATAATTTAACCAAGTTTTACTTTTACCATTTAGATGTCTGTCTAAACTCTTGATTTCGTCTAGCAACCTTAATCATGATCTTAACATCCTGATACTTTCTAACATTTTCCATAGTCTTACTTTATTCATGAGCTTGAAGAAGTTTTTTTTAAATGTATTCTTAGCTTTTTGGCATAATTTAGTATTTTTTGCAATATATGGAGCCAACCAGTTCATCTGGTTAAATGATAAGATCTCTGTGACCTTATCTACAACTAGACCTGATTTTATATAATACTAAAGCTCTTGATAATGAATGACATAATTTTTCCGTGGGTCAAGATGGGGACTAATTTTTCTGTTGCATAGAATTGTTCACCATCTATATCATTCACAAGCTTAGCATTATATGGATATAGCATATCCTTTTTTACTGCAACATTTTCTACAGCTGATGGTAAGTCAGTTGTGAGTCTTTAGAGAGAAATAGAAATTAATCATTAAGTAGAATCCACATAATGCATTTACTCCAGTCTTGAGTATCATTTTGAGATATTTCTTTTGCATCTTAGGATTATTCTTTAAATATTTTCAACTAGCAACCCACTTATAATTTCCAATTGGGAGAAATTGGTTCATGACTCAGCCATAAAAATTATTTGCATTGATATAAGAGATACATATTATGGGTTAGGATAGATCAAATTCCTCTCCTATGCTAGGATTATTTGCTTGAAAATATCTATATACTGCTATAGCAATACCACCTCACTTTGCTTTTTCAATGAAGTCATGCATTGCCATTTCTGTAAATAGCTTAATCTTGACTTTGGTCATCTTAAGCATAGCATCCCAGGATAGAGAAGGTGCAGATACATAATGGCTAGGATTAAGGCCATAATGATGCATAGATGTCTTTCTAAATGTTGTCTAGATATCTGCTAGACTAAGCACATCTATTTTGAGATAGAGATCATTATATTCTCCCAAGTTCTTACACCCAAATTCATTCCATATATTTTGGGTATGATTATAATCCTCTTGTGAAATCTTACCTCTAAGAACACTATAAAACTCATGAATCAGAGGTAATTCTGTTTCCTTAAATCGATCATAGAAGTCTATGTACTTATAAGAAAAGATTCCTTTATGATATGCTAAAGAAATCTGTTCAGAAGAATAGCCTTGTTTCTTGAAATACTCAGTTGTAATTGGGTGGTTATCACCCAAATTCTTTGTAAGAGAGGCCAAGCTAGAATT